GCGACTGATCTGCCTCGCCAGAGAAGAGCGCAATGATGGTGCCAACTTGGGCCAGTGAAGCAACGTCCTCCACAACTAGACTGAAGAACAAAAGGCCAGCAACTTGTCTGTTCCCCTTCCCCTGATTCCCCAGCACTGTTCCCATCCCCCCAATTCCCCAATAAAAATCTTTAAAAAAATAATAATAATAAGGTAGTAAATTTTATGTTACATATATTTTACTACAATTAAAAAAGAATACCTCATAGATAATGTTGTGGCATCCATCAAGAGGCATATAGAGCCTTATTTCTCCTCTTGTGATGGTAGCACCTTTTGATCATTACCTAGATCCATTAATTTATTAGGGGTTGTAAAATGGTAATATTTTATCATTCCCTTTCATTTGTTAACTGAAACACTTCTAAAAAGAGAAACTGCTGTTCAACAACTATTTTGTTATCCCAAGCTCCAGTTCACACTGGAAAGTCAGGATAATGTTTGATTCTTTTCCTTTATTTACATTTTTAAAAATAATTTGTTTCCTACTGTCCTCCATAAGGTTTGGGGGAGGGTTGTGTGTGTGTTTCTTCATAAACTTAGAGAGTAAACCTGTTTGATGCCTTTTGATCTATTGACAGTTATTGTATAAATTGTCTTTATTTTTGGCTGGTGGAAGCTCCTTCACCTTGACATGTCAAATTCTTTTGACATGACTTTGGTAGTAGCGGATAGCTCTCTTGCTGTCTGATGCACTGTTCCATGCTCATCTTACACATTGCCTAGCTCATGCTTGGAGTGAACCATTTCTCCAAGGAGCTCTGATTCCTTTAGGGGAAAGTGGTATTAAGAGACCATGATTTGGGTACTAGGGATACTCATTATTGGGTTAGTAATTGTTTCTAGATCTTTTTATCGGACAAATTAGGGAATACAGAGAGAGAGAGAGAGTGAGAGTGTGTGTGTGCGTGTGTGTGTATGTGTAATGTAGATATCAATATGAACTTATATCAATTCAGACAAAATATAAGGCCAGACTGATATATCCAATTCAAATTCTGCACTACAGGATTTTTTTAACCTCATTTATCTTACATGTATCTCTTTCTCTGATACCAAAGATGCCAGTTTAAACAACGTAATTATACATTTGCTTTACCCCATGTTACATACACAACGGTTTTCAAAATAACAAACTAATCAACCCTGATCATTTACTTATAACAGTAACTTGGAATTGTTCTTCCCTGTGTCATTATGCTACCAGTTCTATACAATTAGCTGCATTTGCTTCGTTTTGTTTTCAAGTGTTAGGAATTCCTTTATTTTTAATTTAATTTAAAAAAAATAGTTATATGATTCCAAAATCAAATCTATAAAACAATGTACTATATTCAGAGAAGCTCCCTGTCTCCACCCTATTTCTCTCCCTCTCCCTCTAGATAACCTTTTTATTTTTAAAGGACTTATCCTTCATTTTTTAAAAATATAAGTGAGTATATATTCATATTCCCCCTTAAATACAATGTATATTTTCTCTACCTTGCAATTTTCAAATAACAATGTATCCTTCAGGTCACTCCATAAGAATATGTACATAACCTTTATTTCTTTTTACATCTGTGTTTTGTGCAGATAAATCATATTCAGCCAGTTCTCTATTGATGGACATTTCTGTTATTTTCAATCTTTCTATTACAAGTAGTACTGCAATGAAATGGCTTGGACATATAATGTAGTTTTCTGTTGTTTCCAGCCACCAAGTTTGTGGTCATTTATTATAGCAGCACTAGGAAACCTAATACATGTTCTTTGATGCACAAAGTTTTAAATTTTGATGAAGTCCAGTAGATATACTTTTTTCTTCAATTGCTTGTACTTTTGGTATCATAGCTAATAAATTGTTGCTTAATCCAAGGTCATGCAGATTTTCATCTATGTTTTCCTTTGTGAATTTCTTGTATAAGAGTTTTATAATTTTTAGCTCTTACAGGGGCCGGCCAAGTGGCTCAGTTGGTTAAGAGCTCGCTCAAGAGTTTGAGCTCTGAGCAACAGCAGTTCGATTCCCAGTCCAAGCTGAGCAGCCGCTGAGCTGCCAACAGGTGGCAGGATGGCTCAGCTTAAAAAAAAATTTTTTTTTAGCTCTTACAGTTAGGTCTTTGATCCATTTTGAGTTAATTTTGTATATGGCATGAGATAGGGATCCATATTAATTCTTTCACTTATGGAATCCAATTATCCTAGTACCATTTGTTGAAAGGCTGTTTTTCTCTCCATAGAGTGGCCTTAGCACCCTTGTTGAAAGTCAACTGACCATAAATATATTGATTTATTTCTGGATTCTCAATTCTATTCAGTGGCCTACATGTCTAACCGTATGCCAGTACCACGCTATTTTGATTAATGTAGCTTTGTACTAACTTTTGAAATTAGAAAATGAGAATCATCCAACACTGTTCTTCTTTTTCAAGATTGTTTTGAAATTCCATACGAATATTTTAAAGATCAGCTTATCCATATCTGCAAAAAAGGCAGTTGTAACTTGGATAGGCATCCTATTGGATCTCTAGATCAATTTGGAGTGTATTACTATCTTTATCATCTTAAGTCTTCCAATCCATAGACATGGGCTGTCTTTCCATTTATTCAGATCTTTTTAAAATTTTTCAACACTGTTTTACAAGTCTAGCAGTTAGTTAAATTTATTCCTTAGTATTTTATTATTTTTGATGATATTTTAAATGGGTTTTTAAAATTTCATTTTCAGACTGTTCATTGCTAATGTACAGAAATACAACTGATATTTGTATATTGATCTTGTATCCTGAAACTTTGCTGAATTCATTAGCTCTAACTTTTTTTTAAATGATATCATTTTATCTGTGAATAGAGATAGTTTTCCTTCTTCCTTTCTAACCTAGAAGCTTTTTCATTTTTTTTTTTTTAATTGGGGAATTTGGAAGGGGAACGGAACAGACAAGTTGCTCTCCTTTTTGTTCTTCAGTCTGGTTGTGGAGGACGTTGCTTCACTGGCCCAAGTTGGCACCATCATTGCGCTCTTCCCTGGCGAGTCAGATCAGTTGCCAGCTTCTGGACGGCCGCTCACAGCGGCTGCTGGCCGCTCATGCTGGCTGCTGGCCACACACGGTAGCCCATTGCAACCCACTGCAGCAGGGGCTGCAGCCTGTGCCATCACCAGCGACTCAATTATTGAGGATTTTTGCACCTAGAGCCATTAGGGATATTGGCCTATTGTTTTATTTACTTGTGATGTCTTTGTCTGGTCTTTGTATCAGGGTAATACTGACCTCATCAGATGACTTAGAAAGTGTTTTCTTTTTATCTCTCTTTTTTTTGGAGGGGGAGTGGCTTTTCTGCAGAAGGATGCATCTTAATTCTTTAAACATTTGGTAGAATCCATCATCAGTAAAGCCATCTAATCCTGGGCTTTTTTCTTTATGGGAAGTTTTTTGGTTACTAGATCTCTTCACTCGTTTATAGGCCTCAGATTTTCTGTTTCTTCTTGAGTCAGTTTTGGTGGATTCTGTGTTTCTAAGAATTTAACCATTTTATCTACATCATCTAATTGGTTGATGTACAGTCATTCATACTATTTCCTTATAATCCTTTTTATCCCTATAAAATTGTTAATGACAACCCTCTTTCATTCTTTAGGAAATTGAGTCTTCCCTCTTTTTGTTTATTGATCGTTCTAGCTAAATTTGTCAAGTTTTTTTATCTTTTCAAAGAACCAACTTTTGGTTTTGTTGAATTTTATTGTTTTTCTATCCTCTATTTTATTTCCAATCTAATTTGTATTATTTTCTTACTTCTGCTTGCTTTGGATTTAGTTTTCTCTTTTTTTTCTGGTGTCTTAAGGTAAAAGGTGAGGTTATTGATTTGAGATTTTTTAAGTAATTTTTAAATTTTTCTATTATAGTTGACATACAATATTATATTAGTTTTCGGTGTATAACGTAGTGATTAGGCATTTAAATAACTTACAAAGTGATCCCCTGATAAGTTTAGTACACACCTGACACCATACATAGTTATTACGAGATTATTGACTATATTCCCTATGCTATACTTTATATCCCTGTGACTTTTTTTATAACTGGCAATTGGTATATATTAATCCCTTCCCTCTCACCCATCTTCCCAACTCCACTCTGGTCTGGCAACCATCAAAATGTTGGGATCTCTTTTAATGTAGGCATTTATAGTTATAAATTTCCCTCTGAATGCTGCTTTTGCTACATTCCTTAAAGTTTTGGTGTATCATGTTTTCTTTGGTCTCAAAGTATTTTCTGATTTCCTTTGTGATTTTTTTTTCTTGGACTCATTGGCTTCTTTCTTCTTGTGCCAACATCTGGAAACTGTCAAGGCAGTTAGCTAGTACAAGTGTAAGGCTCACCTCATTTGTTTCCCATTTCTCAGGGATCACTGTCCTTTGTTGTCTGAGATCCAGTGTCTTGAAAACGTTATTTCATACATTTTGTTCGTTTTCTCAGTTGTTTCAGATGAGAGAATAGTCTGGTCCTTGTAACTCCATCTTGGATAAAAGTGGATGTTGGTTTCATTTTTAACATTTAAATCTCTAACTCATTTGGAATATGTGAGAAGTGGATCCAGTGTTACCTTTTTGCATATGTGCTATCCAGTAATTCCAACTGATATAAAATTTAAATCAGTAATCACTGACTTTAAAATTTTAAAGTCTCAATCCTTTTGTAGTTCATAAGTGTGATGATTAGGTGTTCACGCTTGTGTGTAAGATGTGCCTCCCATAAACCTTGTTATGACATTGGCACATTACCCATCTGACATGAAAAAAGGAAAAAAAATGAAAACAAATTTAAAAGTCTCATCTCTTCACCACCTTGTTTTTAATTAATTTCCATATGAGCTTTCTGTTTTACATTTTTTATTTTTTACCATTGTTTATTTTGTTTATTCATGTTTTAAATTTTTTAGTATCTGGTAAGACTGTTTATTATAATTGATCTTTTTCAGGGTCCTTTTTATCATCTTGCTTGGTATTCTTTCAAATAACAAATTTTAAAATCAGTTATAAATACAGAGTTCTCTTGTGAAAGTTAATTTCTTAGCACTGAAATTTCTTGTGTTCTGATTACTAAACATTAAGACATATTAAGCAGGGAGTAAGACTGGTGACATTCAGGAAGAAAAAGGGGACAAATTAAAATATAATTATATACTCATAATTAATTGCTCTTGGCTTCAACAGTCTTAAGAGATATTTAAAACAAACGATCAAAATTAATAAAACTATATGTTCATTGAATTTGCAAGGTTTTTTTCCTATTGAAGCCTAACATACACATGTACAAATGTATATGTATGTAATTAAACATTAATAAAAATGATACAGTGAATACCAAAAAACAGGTTTTTACCGATTCCAAGGCTGTCTCATTTTTAAACGCCTAACATTATTTTAGGTTTGCAAGTATACACATACACCTGTATTTATCATCCTTGAACAATGTTTACGTTCAGTGTGCTGGCTTAATTTTAGATTGATTCATTCCTGCCACGAAACTTATCAAGACTTCTTTTTATAGTATACTCCTTGATAGCAGAAACCATGTCTATTTCCTTTATCAAACTCAGAGTGTAAAGATCTCTTAGTGAGGAAAGTTGTGGATGTAAGTTAAGTTAGCACTTATTAGATTTGCTTTCTTAATTTATATTCCTTTTTAAATTTTGTACATGTATCAAATAATATTTCTAGCTTGGAAAATTCTTCATCATCATTAATTACAAATATTCTTTGAGAGAGATTTTAACAAATGCTATAGATAGGAAAACAAAATGCCGTAGATAGGAAAATGGATTTTGCTCTCAAGTCGTTTTGTTTTGTTTTGTTTTGTTTTACCTATTTCTACCCAGAAATACTGGGAAAAAAGTGAAAAATAATAACATAGCCAAATGAGTAAGAGAGACAGTAACTCTTAACATAAATTTCAAAGTGTGTACCATAATGGGTCAGGGAACTTTCTTGGCCAAAGTTGAATTAGAGCTAAGGTTTTTAGATATCAGTAAAACTTGGATGGATAGAAAGAAAAATGGAAGCGACAGGGGAGAAAATGGAAGAGATAAAAGCCAGGAGACAGAACGTCACATATTAGGTTCTACATCAGTGGGTGACAAGCCTGATCCTAAGGTTTTGTTGGAGGAATATTAGTAGATGTAGTAGAAAGGTACTAATGGCAGCTGATCTTGAGAACTTACTCTGTGCCAATCATTGTGCAAAACACTTTACATATTTTTATCAGTTAACCTTCACAAAGCTGCAGTAGGTGATTTATTACTATTTTTAAAGTGAGGAAAATTACTTTTAAAGAAATTAAGCTACTTGCTCAAAGTCAGACTTCTAGCGAGAGTCAAAGCCTAGATTCAAACCACTCGACTTCAAAGTCTATGCTCTTAACAACTGCATGTAAAAATGCTGAGTTATATTTAGGTAATGTAGGTAATGTAGATCTTGAATGCCAAGCCAATGTGATGAGACTTAATTCTTGTTCTCTAATGTGTATAACAATCATCTAGAGGACACTTTATGAAGAAATCTTTCAGGGCCGGCCGAGTGGCGCGACGGTTAAGAACTCGCTTGGGATGCCAGAGGGCCCCGGTTCGGATCCCACATATGAGGGCCAGTGACACTGCCCTCTACAGCTAAGATGCTGAACAACAGCTCAACCTGGAGCTGGGCTGCCAGGAGTCGCCGGCGACGGCGTGGGCTGCAGCCCCTGTGGCAGTGGGTTGCCATGGGCTACCGTGTGTAGCCAGCAGCCAGCGTGAGCGGCCAGCAGCCGCAGTGAGCGGTCGTCCAGAAGCCGGCGACTGATCTGCCTCGCCAGAGAAGAGCGCGATGATGGTGCCAACTTGGGCCAGTGAAGCGACGTCCTCCACAACTAGACTGAAGAACAAAACGACAGCAACTTGTCTGTTCCCCTTACCCCAATTCCCCAGCACTGTTCCTATCCCCCAATTCCCCAATAAAAATCTTTAAAAAAAGAAATCTTTCAGCAGACTTCCTGAAATTAATCTGCTTAAAGTTGCTAGCAAATTTTGAGGTTACTCAAAATGTCGACTCAGTAATATTGGGAGATGCTAGAATTTCAGTGCTAAAAGCAAAAGGCAAGCTTTCAGGAGACTGAAATAGGTGATTTCTCTCTTTTTTTTTTTTTTTTGCATTAGGCAACACTGGACTATGGAATGTATTCTCGAGAAGAAGAACTATTAAGAGAAAGAAAACGCATTGGAACAGTTGGGATTGCTTCTTATGATTATCACCAAGGAAGTGGAACATTTTTATTTCAAGCTGGTAGTGGAATTTATCATGTAAAAGATGGAGGGCCACAAGGATTTACTGTAAGTTGGCATTATTACTACTTATTAAATCTGTTTTTTGGTCCTAAAGTTTGTTTGCACCCAAATCAGAAAGGTAATTAAACCAAAATATTCTGTTTACTCATCAACTAAGAAATTTCGTTATAAAGAAAACAAGAAATTTGGGTATTAGTTTCCAATTTTTTCCAATTACAATAGTATACAATTTTAAAAATGCTAGAAACACTTGCTATGTAGGAAGATATAGTAAAGGGCATCAGTGCCCACTTTCTGGGTAAGCGCTGAGGAGGGTTTGGGAAGATAATGTTATCATAAGGCATTCCATTTTTGGTCCCCTTAAAAGCTTGATTCATCTTTTTTTTTTTTTTTTTTTTTTAGCTGAGCCATCCTGCCACCTGTTGGCAGCTCAGTGGCAGCTCAGCTCAGGTGCAGCATCACTGGCCTAAGTGGGAATCGAACTGGCAGCCCTGTTGTTCAGAGCTCGCGCTCCTAAGCTAACTCTTAACCAACTGAGCCACTCAGCCAACCCTAGAACTATTCTTTTGATGGAATTGTGATGATCGTGGCTTTCATTACATTTTTATGAGCAAACTATTTTATATTGGTAAATTAATTGGAAATGTTTAATAAATAAAATACTCAATAAATAAGTGTTTAATAAAAGTATTTAATAAACAGTAACTATTAAAAATAAGTCCTTCCTTACAAGTTAAGACATATGAAAGTATACTTTTCTGGGAAGCAATTATCATAGTTGACATTTTACTTGGAATTATTGTTCATTTTATAGAAAGGGTGCCTGCAAATGAGAATGTATATATCAGCATGCACCTGCCTTAAAATGTTGTTTACTTTTCTAGCAACAACCCTTACGGCCGAATTTAGTGGAAACTAGCTGTCCTAACATTCGGATGGATCCAAAATTATGCCCAGCTGACCCAGACTGGATTGCTTTTATACATAGCAATGATATTTGGATATCCAACATTGTAACCAGAGAAGAAAGGAGACTCACCTACGTGCACAATGGTAATGCATAGTTCTTCAAATCCAGTTTCCTAAAACGTATTTTTGAAATGTAATTTGCTTTTGCTTATGTTTACAAATTGAAGCAAGCTGGGTGGTCTTTATATTTTAAATTCAAATCTTTAAAATTAAAAAAGAAAAAAAAGCAGAGAGGATAAGTGGTATGTACCACTTGTTTTAATGTTCAATCAGATAGCAAAACAGTAGCACCTCTAATGTGATTATTCTTTTAGCCAGATAAAACTGCCAGAATCTCCCCAAAACGGTTGTCATTAAAAGAACATTTTAATTAAAAAAATTAATCTTGTTTTTGGAAAACAAACAGAAAAACCTAATACTATAAGAACTACCTGAAAATTTATCTCCCCTTTTTGGAGAGCCTACTTATTTTGTCATAATAGAAAAAAACAAAACTTTGTAGAACTGCATGTATTGTGGAAATATTTAATTTTTATTGAAGTGACCATAATAATACTAAACACTACTCAAAGTGTAGAAAAGATGTGGATGTTTTCCTGTAAAGCTTTCATACAAATGAAAGATGGGAAATAGTATATTGCGTTTTCTTTGAACATGTGGAACAGAGCTTAAGAATAAACTCCATAATGAACAATAGTCACTCTAAAAATTCATTTGTTTAACTTTTGCTTAATCTGATGTTCACAAAGCTGATTTATTGCACATCTTTCTTAATAAATTATTTTAGAATGTAAGTGTACCCTGCTGGAGATGTTACATTATTACACGGTAGATGTACAATGTATGAAAAATCCCCAAAATTCTGAGTTCCGAACACTTCCGGACTCAAAAGATTTTTGGATAAAGGATTATTGGTTCAGACTGCACATTCATTTTAGACAATATATATAATAAGAATACATTGAAACTTGCCTATGAAATTAAAATCACTATGAAATGTTACTATACAACCATTAGACTGGCTAAAGTGAAAAAGATAAAGAATGCCAGATGTTGGAGAGGAGCTTTCCTATATTGCCAATAAGAGTATAACATAATACAAATACTTTTGAAAACTCTGTAAGAGTTTCTTATAAAGTTAAACATATAATTCTCAGCCATTCCACTCCTGGGTCTTTATTCAAGAGAAATAAAAACATACGTCCATAAAGATTTTTATATAAGAATGATCATAACATCTTCATAATAGCCAAAAACAGGAAGCAGCCCAGATGTCCATTAACAGATAAATGGATTTTAAAAACTATGGTATACAAGGAAATACTACTCAGCAATAAACAGGAATGAATTGCTGATACATTTATAGAGCAAGCATGATATTGATACAACATTGATGATCTCAAAAAGCAGACAGACACAAAGTATATACTGTATGATTTCATTTATATGAAATTCTAGAATATGCAAAACTATGATGATATGATGATAGAAATCAGTGGTTGCTTCTGGGCAGGAATGGACAGTGACTGGGAAGGGGCATGAGAAAACATTCTTCGAATGTTAGAAGTATTCTGTCTTGATAGGGTGTGGTTATACAAATATATACATTTTTCAAAAATAAAAGGTACTCTTAAGATTTTGTAAATTACAAAGCAATTTTTTTAAAAAGCTTCTCCATAGTCTCACTATTTGGAGAGAACCAAACCACATTTTAGATTATATCCCAATACTTTTTAAAATAATATATTTGTCTTTTGGGGGGTTTTTTGGTTTTTTGTTTGTTTGTTTTTTATTAATTTCAGGTGTACAGAACAATGCAGTAGTTATCTTTTTACCCCTCAAAAGAAACAGCCCGCCTCCCCCATCTACTGCCCTCCCATCCTCGATATCATACTTACCTATTACAATTCCATTGACTCCATTCCCACACTCTACTTCACATCCTGTGGCTATATGTATATATAATTGTAGTTGACATACAATATTACTCAATATCAGCTTCAGAAATACAGTGCAGTGGTCATAATATTTTTTTTTTTTAAGATTTTTTTATTGGGGAACTGGGGGGATGGGAACAGTGCTGGGGAATTGGGGGAAGGGGAACAGACAAGTTGCTGTCGTTTTGTTCTTCAGTCTAGTTGTGGAGGACGTTGCTTCACTGGCCCAAGTTGGCACCATCATTGCGCTCTTCCCGGCTAAGCCAGAGCAGTCACTGGTTTCTGGACAACCGCTCACAGCGGCTGCTGGCCGCTCACGCTGGCTGCTGGCCACACGGTAGCCCATCACAACCCACTGCCACAGGGGCTGCAGCCTACGCTGTCGCCGGCGACTCACAGCAGCCCAGCTCCAGGTTGAGCTGTTGTTCAGCATCTTAGCTGTAGAGGGCAGTGTCACTGGCCCTCATATGTGGGATCCAAACCGGGGTCCTCTGGCGTCCCAAGCCAGTTCTTAACCATCGCGCCACTCAGCTGGCCCATAACATTTTTATAAATGGAATTACATGTACATGCCATTTAGTAATATGCTTTTCTTTGACTCAGGTATATTGTAAAGATTTCCCTATGTCATGAACTCATATAATTACGGCTTTGAGTATTATTGTTTTTGTTTTAAAAGCAAGAGTTCCCTTCAAACTATTTGTTGGAAACTTAAGTGTAAAATAGATAAAAGCTGAGCTGCTCTGGTTGAATGGGAGGAAGGAGAAGGAGAAATGGTGAATTACAAGATCTGTAAGACCCATTCTAGGTCTAAAGGTGTACTTCCCTGTGTAGGAGAGTTACAAGTCCACATGACTCTTTACATATATTATTTTTCCATGTTCTAGCTAAATGGAAAAATAATAACATTTATGGAGCACATACTATGTATGGTTCAGGCTTTCTTCTAAGTGCTTTGTGTAATTAACTCATTTAATCCTCATGACTTTATTATTATTTTTTAAGATTTTTATTGGGGAAGGGAACAGTGTTGGGGAATTGGGGAAGGGGAACACTGTTTTTTTTCCAGGACCCATCAGCTCCAAGTCAAGTTGTTTTCCTTCAGTCTTAGTTTTGGAGGGCGCAAGCTCAGCTCCAAGTCTAGTTGCTGCTTTCAATCTAGTTGTGGGAGGGCACAGCCCACTATCTCATGCGGGAGTCGAATCCGGCAGTCTTGTTGTTAAGAGCACGCACTCTCACCAGCTGAGCCATTTGACTGCCTGTTGGCAGCTCAGCTTGGGCGCAGCTCACTGGCCCATGTGGGAATCGAACCAGTGACCCTGTTGCTCAGAGCTCACACTCTAACCAACCGCGCCACCCAGCCGCCCCCTTCATAACAACTTTAAAAGATAGATTCTTATTCCCATTTACTAATGGAACACTTCAGTGGGATGAGATTGGGTGATTTGCCCAAAGGTCAGTCAGTAAGTGATGGAGCCAAGATTTGAATTCAGTCCATTTGGCTCCTGAGTTCCCCACTATGCTACAGGTGCCTTTAAAAATAAGCCGAATCATGCTGCTTTGTACCTATTAAAAGATAGGTAACTTCCTGTGATGATTTTGCCTTTTCTGTTTTTCTAGAGCTAGCCAACATGGAAGAGGATCCCAGATCAGCTGGAGTTGCTACCTTTGTTCTTCAAGAAGAATTTGATAGATATTCTGGCTATTGGTGGTGTCCAGAAGCTGAAACAAGTAAGGATGTTCAAAATAATGTAGGTCATTACAATATTATGAGATTCAACTACCAATGAGTTAAATGCCCAGATTCTAGATCCTGAATAGTCGAGTCTGAAGTGATGAAACTTGGATTCTACTAGTATTTAGAATATACAGGTTACATCCCACCATAATGAATTCTAATAAAAACAATTGTATTGTGGTTCAGTGGCTCAGGTCCTTCAACTACCCTTGGCAATTTTTCATCTAGAATCTAGTCTTGGTAACGTTGGTGGCAAAATTGATGGCAAAATAAATACCAAGCCTTAATGAATTGTAGGATTGACTAAAGAGTCTGTGTGAACAGGTGACCAAATTAGTGTATGAATGGATTGGAAAAAGCACAAGTTCCTCCTTTTTCTTGGTGAATTTACAAGTATTTACTGCCAGAGAAATCGCTTGCTAAAGCAGGGGTTTTCAAACTTTCTGACCATGACCCAGTTAGAAATTTGCTTTACATTCTAGCCTAATACATTGTACATACACAGTAAATATAAAACTGAAAATAAATTGCTTGAAGCAAACTTACCTTGTATGTAATTACTCTGATGCATATTTTTTTAAATATTGGTTATGACCCATTAATAGATTTTATGACCCAGTGATGGACTGTGGCTAGCATTCTGAACACTCCTCTAAGGGACCATGAAAAATATTTATTTTTAAGCCATGTCTTATATTTGGATTTTTGTTTTAAGATGTAAAGTGTTTTGCCATAACTGTATTTGTTAGAGCAAAATTTTGCCATGATTAGAGAAACCATTAAAAAAAAACTGGACACTATTTAAATAGCATTTATTTTGTTATAGGAAATACTATAAATGTTATTAAATAATTCATTTTTCAATAAGGAATGCATTTTAAGGTATGCAAGGGCTGGAGTTCTTCATATGGGTTTTCCCTTGTTAAAGGAGTAACCTTTAACCAGTAAAAATGACTTAGCTGTAACACATTGCTACTGCAAAGACTAGTGATATTTTCATACATAAAAGACAGCATATTTTATATGTAAATTATTTTTCACTATGGGACTATATTAATGCTAGAGGAAATGGTCAGTTATGATTATTTTCTAAAATAATAATTCTAAATTTTCAATATTTAAATTCCTTATAAGCTCCCAGTGGCAGCAAAATTCTTAGAATTTTATATGAAGAAAATGATGAATCCGAGGTGGAAATTATTCATGTTACATCCCCTATGTTGGAAACAAGGAGGGCAGATTCATTTCGTTATCCTAAAACAGGTACTATACCCTTGGCATTTTTATTCATTCGTTCCTACTTTCCAAACAAGATTGTCTCTGTAATCATCCAAAGTTATGGTCAGCATTGGTCATTCATAGCCTTAGTAAGGATGGAATGTTTGTTGTCACTGAAGTAGATTTTTTAACTACAAGCTGATCTTTTTAATTATTTTCAAAGGTGGGAAGTTCACAAAACTAGTTATTTCAAGGAATGAATAAAAAGGTGTCTCTGCTAGGAAATAGAGATTTTTAAGGGCTTATGTCTTTACTAAATTGGTAATTTTTCCCATTTTGCTGTTTACGGCATTTCAATTGTAAAAGGATACAGAATTTTTTTCTTTTTATTTCATACTGACCCTTGATGTTTTTTTACCTTTTTTTATACCCATATTAAAAACTGAACTTGCAGTAGAGTTCTGAGATTCTTACTCAGTAAAGCTCTTACTCTACGATATTCCTGACTTAAGTTTAAGAGAATTGATCTGGCAAAATTAGTCTGAATAATTTTGGATATGTATTACTATTCATTTATGTTTCTTTCTAAAGGCACAGCAAATCCAAAAGTCACTTTTAAGATTTCGGAGATAATGATTGATACTGAAGGAAGGGTGAGTATAAAAATGTTAGGTTGACTTTTTGTGTCATTTGACTAGTCAGTGTAGTAGAGATGTTAGATACACTTTTTTATTTTTTGGACTCATTGAATTTGCTGAGACATATGTGGATCATGATTTCAGGTTGCCCTTATTTTCCACTTTGAAAACTTTCTGCTGGTTCCCAAAATAGGAATATGGGGATATGCATATTTACCACTCCTTTCTAACAGTTTCTCCTCTTTGCCTTTGTTAATTCTCTAGATCAATATTTAAAAAATATTGGTTATAGACTGGTAACTTACCTTCTGTGTTATATATATGCCTATGGTTTATTAAATATCCTACATTTCTCTTGTAGTGCTATCCATTTGGACATTCAAATGCTGAAGGCACACAAGATAAAGTACAAATTTAATTAAGACTTTTTAAAACAGTTTTATTGAGATACAATTCACATACAATACAGTTTACTCATTTAAAGTTTAAAATTACTTTGTATAATCACAGAGGTGTGCAGCCATCACAACAGTCCATTTTAGAACATTTTCATCACCCAAAAAAAGAAACCCCACATTCCTTAATTACACCCCAACCTCCCCATGCTCCCCAGCTCTAGGGAACCACTAATCTACGTTCTGTCTATAGATTTGCCAGTTCTCGACATTTCCTGTAAATGGAATCATATAGTATCTAGTCTGGTTTTATTCATTTAGCATCACGTTTTTAAGCTCCATCCATGTTGCAACATGTATCAGCACTTCATTACTTTTTATCATCTATATTCCATTGTATGGATAGACCACATTTTTTTTTATCCATTCATCAGTTATGGATATTTGGGTTTCCACATTTTGGCTATTATGAATAATGCTACCATGAATGTGTGGGCATACGTTTTCATTTCTCTTGGCTAGATAACCTAGGAGTGGAACTGTTGGGTCGTATAACTCTTACGTTTAACCCTTCATCGGGCGCTACTGATTTCACAGATTCATTGCACACAAAGATGCCGCTATGAAATAACGCCTTTACTAAGTCACAAACATGACTGGCAATAAGTTACGGTAGACGGGGAAGATAGGAAGCGATGAGTCACGATACTTAACTGTGAGATATTTGAAACTTTGTGTGCAATGAATCTGTGAGATCAGTTGCGCCTGACGGAGTGTTAAACTTTTGAGGAACTGCCAGATTTTTTCCAAAGTGGCTACACTATTTCGTATTCCCACCAGCAGTGTACAAGGTTTTCAGTTTCTCCACATCCTTATCAACACTTGTTACTGTTCGTCTTATTTATTATAGCCATCCTAGTAGGTTTGAAGTTGTATCTCATTGTGGTTTTGATTTACATTTTCCTGATGGCTAATGATACTCAGCATCTTTTTGTGTCTTATTGTCCAAAAAGTATTTCTTTTTTGGAGAATTGTCTATTCAGATCCTTTCTTTGGTCATTTTTAAAGGATTTTTATTAAAAATATAGCTAACATACAATATTAGTTTCAGGTGTACACCATATTTAGTAAACATTTACATACCTAAAGAAGTGATCACCATAAGTCCAGCAACCATCTGACACTGTACTATGCTATCACAATATTATTGACTATATTTTCTATGCTGTACATTATATCCCCATGACTTGTTTGTTTTATACCTGGAAGTTTGGACCTCTTATTCCCCTTCTCCCCCTCCCCTTTTTAACTTTTCAATTAGAGTTGACATCAATATTATTTTATATTAATTTCAGGTGTACAGCATAATGGTTAGACATTTATATAATTCAGATGATCTCCCTTACTAGTCTAGTACCCCCCTGGTACTATGCATAGTTATTTCCATATAATTGACTGTGTACCCTATGCTTTACTTTACATCCCCATGACTACCAATTTTGTAACTATCAATTTGTAATTCTTCATCCCTTCCGTTTTCCTCCCCTCAACCCTCCTCCCATTTGGCAACCATCAAAATGTTTTTTATATCTGTGAGTTTATTTCTGTTTTGTTTGTTTATTTTGTTCTTTAGATTCACATATAAGCAAACCATATTGCATCTGTCTTTCTTTGTCTGACACTCCACTCAGCACAATAACTTCCAGGTCCATCCATGCTGCTGCAGATGGCAAGAACCCATTCCCTTCTATGGCTGAACAATATTCCATTGTATATGTGTACCACCTACTCTTTATTCATTCATCCATCAACAGACACCCAGGCTGCCTCCACATCTTGGCCATTGTAAACAATGCTGCAATGAATATTTGGATGCACACATCCGCTCAAAGCTGCATTTTGGGATTCTTTGGATAAATACCCAGAAGTTGGATTATTGGGTCCTTCTTTGTCTCTTACTATGTTTTGCTCATTTTTTTTAAACTTTTTTTTTTTAATTGTGTTGACTAGACTTAAAGGAAAAAAATGTGCTTACCCAGGGTCTTTTCACTAATTATGTATTACATAAATAATATTTTAGGCTAAAATACAGGGAACTAGGGACTATTATTTCTCTTAGATACTAGAGTCTAAAGTGATTAAAATTTGATTTTACCAGTTATTATCAAGGGTTCTGTCAGTATAAACTCATGAGGAAAGACTTTTAGACTGCTGATTTTTGTGGTTAGAACTTTTTTAGGCAGAAAGAGCACTGCTGGTTTTGCTATATTCTTCATGCCTTTTTACATACCTAAGTCTGAAAAAGTATCATGCTATTAAAGGTAATGATTTAAGTAGACTAGTAAGCTAATTATTTAAGTCCTTTATAACTAGATTCCTTTTTTTTCTTTTTTAATAGATTATAGATGTCATAGATAAGGAACTAATTCAGCCTTTTGAGATTCTGTTTGAAGGAGTTGAATATATTGCCAGAGCTGGATGGACTCCACAGGGAAAATAGTGCGTATGTTAAATTGTCAATTCTTTACAAATAATTTAGGATCTAGAACTTTAGAATTGTCTATGCTATTAGGCTTGACTTAGAACTACCTTCACCTGTAAATTTGCAGTGTAGTTATTTATGCACAAAAAGTTTTTCCTAAATTAAGTGGACTTGTGGATTTGTAATCCTGGAAGCATAGGTGCATTGCATTTTAATTCTCTCTTACTTAGCCAGTCATGGTTTCACAGTGTGATTTGTGGTTAAAATAATATGACTTGAAGACTCACATTAACTGTGTATTTTTAAAATTAACTTAAACAAAAATATTTGTAGAGCCTAATGTGACGATGATTACTTAACAATTCTGTGTCTAATATAGACCACAGGAGCTTTATGAGGCTGTGATTTGTTGACACTAAAGGGAAAAAATAATTTCAAAGGCCATCTGTGATTTTGAAAATTTAAAGAAAAGTGCTTTTAAAAATTCTATTCAAGCTTAACTTTTAAAAATAAGTGTAGAATAATAAGCTAATACTTTTAACTAGCCATTTGTAAATGATAATTTAACAGATACTAAAGCAGTTTTTTCATTGTAATTACAGAAATAACTGACAGGTACTAGGAAAGAGAATAGGGGAATATTCATTTTCTGAGAGCTTGCTTTATTTTTGGCTCTTTTCTTTTATTTGTTTAAATAGTGCTTGGTCCATCCTACTAGATCGCTCCCAAACTCGCCTACAGATAGTGTTGATCTCTCCTGAATTATTTATCCCAGTAGAAGATGATGCCATGGAAAGACAGAGACTCATTGAGTCAGTGCCTGACTCTGTGACACCACTGATTATCTATGAAGAAACAACAGACATCTGGATAAATGTATGCCTGTTCTCCTGTACTTGGTTAAATATTTTCTCAGAATGCTAAAGAAAGTGAAGTTTTACAGCCGACTATCAAAATGAAAATTTAAGTTCAAAGTAACTATGAATACTGTTGGCTTAGTTTTAACATTTCAAATTGGAATGATGGTTCCAAAATGAAATGGTTTGTAGATAGAAAGTAGATGCTATTGAAATGACATCTCTCTGCCTGAAGATTTGCCCTTATTCTTGGACACATCAGATATTGAAAACAGCTTCATCAGTGCCTCTGAGAGGACCACAAGTCTTGTCTAGAAATGACTTGCTTTTTTGAGTTGACGAACTACACCAAAATATACCAGTTTGGGATTGAATTTTGCATTTTCCAATTTAGCAGGGAAAACTTAAGATATAAAATAAATAAAGCCAGCTCACTGCTTTGCTGAGTATAGGCTTTATAAGATTCACCTAAAACAGGTGAACACCTGTTTTCCTTTCAACTGTTAGAATATTTCTCTTTGGAAAAGAAATGTAAAAAATATTTTTTCTCATCATTTATTTAATAAGATTTATATCATTAAACTTCATGCCATGTTTCAAAGGATTACAGAGATGGTGAGTAAGAAAAAGCTGTTGGTCATATTTTTCATTTGGAAACATTTATTTCTCAATGGATGAAGTCTTTGACTAAAGTAAGATAAATCTGAAAAGCCCAAGCAAAGTCTATAATTCTAAATATACTATAGCCCCTAGCACTGAAAGTTATTTATACTTCAGAGTATGTTTATAAAGTAATTCTGTCTCTAGCTTAATTGAATTGTTTATGTAGTAATTTTATTAATGTGTATAGTAAATTAAGCTATTCATTTTACAGATCCATGACATCTTTCATGTTTTTCCCCAAAGTCATGAAGATGAAATTGAATTTATTTTTGCCTCTGAATGCAAAACAGGTTTCCGTCATTTATATAAAATTACATCAATTTTAAAGGAGAGCAAATATAAACGATCCAGTGGTGGGCTGCCTGCTCCAAGTAAGAAATCCTTTTTTATTTAAAAAAGAGAAAATGTTGGGGTTAGAAGGTGGGAGGGGTAGGGCAATGTAATGTCTCTTTTGTATACTTTATCATCAATACTTGCTTCATTAAATTAAACATGTAAGTTAAACTAAAATAGAAATGCATGTGTAAAAACAGGACAAAGATGTTTTTTGTTTTTACGAGCATGTTCATTTTAATACTTCCAATACCCTAATTGGACATCTGCATTCCTGGAGTTGTGAGTTAGCATCTACTCTACCATCTTGACTCTGCCCCATAGGACAATCTTCTTGATAGATATATAATAAACTATTAATAGTGGGTAATCTCAGGGTAGTGGGATACTTATTTTTACTTTCTATTTTTGCCTTAACTGTTAGTTTTAATTTATTTAAAGTGACCCCATATCATTTTTAAATTTAAACAGCTATTTTTAAAATATTACATAGTTATTAGATATTTTTCTATACCAAATGTTTTTTTATACTGTCACCATCTGCACTGAAGTTGATGTATAGTTATAACTCTTCAGAGTCATATAATTATGTTGCCCGAAGTGAAATTAAATACTATGTCAGCTGAAGTTAATTTCACTTTAAAGAGTGATGGTTTTCCTTCTGGGAAATGTATTACAGAATGTATGTGTAAGCCTAGAAAAAGTAAAATGGTACATTGAGTTATGGTTTTCTTTAATAATAGAGCTTGTTTTGGAATAGTAGGCACTTTATGATGTTATGTTATATGCTTAACTGCCATTTGTAATGGAACAGAGTCAACCATTTTGTAAAAATTGTAAAATATACACAACAGAATTTACCATTTAAAGCATTTTTAAGTGTGCAGTTTAGTGGCATTGAGTATATTAATATTGTTATGCAACATTGCCACCATCCATCTCCAGAACTTTTTTCATGTTCCGAAACTGAAACTACCCAATAAATAATACCCAATTTAGTGGAAATAAATAATAACTCCTCATTTCTTCCTCCCCCTCAGCCCCTGGCAACCACTTTCTCTCTCTATTACTTTGACTATTCTAGATACCTCATTTAAGTGGAATCATACAGTATTGATCCTCTTATGACTGGTTTATTTCATTTAGCATAATATTCTCAAGGTTTATCAATGTTGTAGCATGTACCAGATGTCCTTTTTGAGGCTGAATAATATTCCACTGTATATACCACATTTTGTTTACCCACTCATCTGTCCACGGACACTTGGGTTGCTTCCACTTTTGGGCTATTGTGAATAATCCTGCTGTGAACATGGGTGTACAAATATCTGTTTGAGACCCTGCTTTCAATTCTTTCGGATATATATCTGGAAGTGAAATTGCAGGATCTTAATGGTAATTCTATTTTTAATTTTTTGAGGAACCACCACTCTTTTTCTATAGTGGCTGCACCATTTGCATTCCCATTAGCAGTGCAGAGTGGTTTCAATTTCTCCACATCCTTGCCAACACTTGTTATTTTCAGGGTTTATTGTTTGTTTGTTTGTTTGTTTTGGTAATAGCCTAGTGAGTGTGAAGTGGTATGGCATGGTTTTGATTTGCATTTCCCTAATGACTAGTAACATTGGGCATCTTTTCATGTGCTTATGGACCGTTTGCAAATCTTTGGAGAAATTTATATTTGAATCCTTGCCCGAGGTTTTAATTGGGTTTGTTTTTTCTTCTTTTTTTTAAGCTGAACCATCCTGCCACCTGGTGGCAGCTCAGTGGCAGCTCAGCTCGGGCCGGGCATTGAACCGCTGTTGCTCAGAGCTCAAACTCTTGAGCTCTTGAAGGAGCTCTTAACCAACTGAGCCACTCGGCCGGCCCTGGGTTGTTTGTTTTTTCAACATGGCTTTTTAAATATCATTCTTATTTGGGAAACAGTGAGCTCCATCTTAAGATGAGCAAAATAAATACTGCCTATTACTCTGTTCCTTCCCTTAGCCTAATTTTTTTTTTAAACAGACAAGATCTTATACTGGGGGTGCAAAAAAAATGTATACACGTTTTAAGAGATGTTAATACTTTGGTCAATGTTGCTCAAGCAGTAGTTCACCAGAAGTGTCTGGATGCTGATGGTAACCACTTTGAGCTCCTTTTGTAATTGCAGGAGTCAAACGTGACTTGTATTCATCTTTTGTTATTGGTATATATTAATGTAGCTTTTTTCCTTTCTTAAAATGTGTATACATATTTTTGGCACCCTCTATATATCTAAGATGGAGAATTTCTTCCCTGAGAGCCTTAGTTTAACTTGGCCCTTAGTGTGAAATTTTTCTACCGATTCCTCTGTTGTTCAGAAATTAAATCCACTTAATGGGATTCCAGAAAGTTTAATGATGAAGACTGGCCAAAGAGCTGTGAATAGTAGTTAATTAACTGAAACAATATTTTGATGACAATAATAAAAAGATACATTAAATTTTTTTACTCCAATTGAAGAGTGTGAGAAGAGCTATTACCTTACTTAACATTCATCTCACAACACCTAGCCTCCGTTTCTTGTCATGTCTATTTCCGGGTCGCTCAACTTGTCTACCTCTTCTTTCCTTTTTGCCCCTTTTTTCTTAATCTTTCTTGCTCCAAGTCTTCCTTCTTTTCTTTGATGTCCCCTTTATTTTGTTCTTTCTTTCTCTTTTCTTTCTTAAGTGGCTATAACATGAAACAATTAGTATTTATTATATATGTTAAATAATATTTATTTTCTGGCCATTAAAAATTTAAACTACTAAGTTGAATTTTTGTATCTAAGAACAAGAAAGTAAGTCAATTTTTTTAACTTGAGTGGGACCCTAGTTAAGTCCCTGTACCATATCATCTCAGTTTGTCCTCAGCTGTCACTTCCCAAAACCATAGCTAGCAGTAGCTAGGGCAAAGAGAAATAGTTTCCATTTTTTAACCTCCTCCTTAGATCACTGCAAGAGCCTCATATACTGAGACAGAATCTCATAAAGACAAATGGGGCATGTTGGCATTTACTGTGGTAATACCCAATTTATTTTAAGCAAATGAAGAACAAATAAAATTTCTCTTCTGTGGCTTTTTAAGTATTTTGTTGCATTTCTAGAACAAATGCCTTGTCGACCCATTAGACTTCTTGGTTTGTCTAACCAAAGACCGAGGAATGCAAGTATTTTTTAGCTCTTTCCTGGCTTTGCCATAAGAATCTATTTTGCTGTTTTTAATTTATGTACATCAATCATTCCATCATTATTCCAGAGTGTTGTGAAGACTCATAACTTGAAATTTTTTTAACTGTGGACTTTTTTTAATTAACATTTGTTTATTCACATAACATTAAATTAAATCATTTTAAAATCAACAGTGGCATTTAGTATATTCACAATGTAATGCAACCATCACCTCTAACTAGTTCCAAAACATTTTCATTACCCCAGACATAACTTGAAATTTTAAATGTACCTTTTTGGGAAAAAAGTTTAGAATACCATTTTTGTTGTTTCATTTGCTTATAGTCTGGTATAAAGTGCTGAATTATAACTATATTTATCTTTAGGTGATTTCAAGTGTCCTGTCAAAGAGGAAATAGCAATTACCAGTGGTGAATGGGAAGTTCTTGGCCGGCATGGATCTAATGTATGTTCTTTTATTCTGCTGATACGTTTGGTCAACATCTGCTGTGTGTATGCGGTGCTAAAAATCAGTAGTACAACTTCATATGACCCCAATGTTTTTGGAAATATTAAGTTCGGGTATAAAGAACACAAGTTGTTAGAAAGGAAGAATCTTAGTCTAAGTTATAAATCTCACCCATTTTGTAGCCCTGGTATTAGATGTGTACTGGTTGCTAAAGTTCACCATTTTCAAGTGTAGTAAGGGAAGGGTTGGTCCATACTTCTCAAATCTAGCAAAAGTTGTGAATTAAGATACAGTTTGAAAATTACTTTTAAATCTCTTACAAACTACTTGTGTCATTTCTACATTAGAAATTGCATTTACTACTTCTTAGGTAGTGCTTCTCTTTCATTCACCTAGTCATCTTATCTCACAAATTTAAAGTTTCATCCACCATCTGCAAAGAGTGGTAGACATTTATACAGAGCGTAGATTCATAGGGAAAAGGAGAGAAAGCCACCCTCTTTAATTCTCAGCTTGTGGCTTTCTGTAGTAATTTAATGAATTCTAATTTTTTTTTCTTTGTCTTTCATAACACCTTATATTTGTTTCAAATTCCAGTTAGGTGGTCAGTGTCATGAGAACTCTAAGAACTCCATCCTTTGTATGTGGTACATTTAGTTAAGTCGATGTATGTTACGAGGATTTAGTGAAGGCCTGTGATTTCCTCAAATTGATTCAGAAATTTATTGAAGGATTGTGTATACTGGCTTTAAATAGAGAAGTCACTTGTAGTCCCCAGGTTGATTAAGGAGAAAGAATGAAGATCCAGGTCCCAGGTCATCTTGTGGTAAAAACTTTAGAATATCATAGGCTACCTTTAAAGTCTAATTTTCACTGAGAATCTCACGTGGCCTTCTGATTATATATCCAAACATATATTTTTTCTGTTTTAGGGACCTTGGATGTTATTGTCACCTAAGAAAATTTTTTTTGTGGAATTCTAAATTCGGATAACAGAAAATTACACTGATGTAAACTTCATGCTGTGTAATGGTTGGATAATACTGAGGGAATCCCCAAAATTGTATTTATGCAGATCTGAACCTTATTTGGGCAACCTAAATATATTTCTACTACTTGCCATTTTGTGCATCAGTTTTCTTCTTTGTTTGTGTCATGCTTATTTATGTAATGTGTCTGTCTCTCTCTTACTCTTTTATTTTTCCCTCTATCCTTGTGTTACTTTTTTTTTTTTT